ACTCAGATCAGGACTCAGGATCCAGGACTCAGGATGCAGGATCCAGGACACATAATTCAGGATCCAGGACACATGACTCAGGATGCAGGACACATGATTCAGGATCCAGGACACAGGACCGCAGCAACAGGATCAGCCACGACTCAGGATCCCGGTGTTGATAGACACCAAAAAGAAATTTGGGGGAAGCTGGCTTATTCGGAACATGAGAGTACACAGGTACAGACAGAGAGAAGGACAAAGCAAGTTTAAAGATCACTGGCTTAAAACTGGATGAGCTAATGGTATTAGCCTGGAGTCGGATGGAATATCTAGAGAGTATCAACGTTTCAATCAAAAGCTTCAGGACTGTTCGGGCCGACATAGAAAACACAGAGGTTCTGCTATCTTCACTGTGAGTCTTCAGAGGGTCCCTGTTCTGTGGAGGACGCTCGGCTCGTTCCTGTGCACGAGACGCTGTTGTTGCAATGGCTCTTATAGCACAATGTTACTTTAAAGGTCACCTATTATGCAAAATGCACTTTTTAATGTCTTTTATGCGTAAATATGTGTCCCCAGTGTGTAAGGAGACTCACAAAGTGTCAACAAATAAAACCCTCTCTCTTTTCCTCCTTACCCACACCTCTAAAAACAGGGGGAACAACGGAGCTCATCCAGATTTGACGCGTTCATGACAACATTACTAAAATGTGGGCTGGTAGACAGCCTTCTCTTCACAGAGCTCACTGCTTGCATGCGGATGCTCCAAAGGGCGTGGCCAGCAGCAGCTCGGTTACATTTAAAGGGCCAAACCCAGAATCAGCACTTTAGTAACAGGGCTGAAATAGAGGGGTATGAGGCATGCTACAATGGGTGGTCTGTTTGGTATTTTGAGCAAAACACATCAGACATGTTTTCTATAGATATGGCCCTATAAATGGTTCAATCATAGCATAATAGGTGAGCTTCAAGGGAGAATGTTCTGTCTATCTCTAACACCAGTGCAGAGATTGGAACGTTTTTGTTTATTAATGCGCACATAATGGCATTTAAGAAAAGCTGGTAAGAATTTTAGAAAGAGGTTTGAGAGGTTAGAAGCGACACATGGCTTATGAAGACACCTCCCATATCTATAGTCATTCATGAAGAATAAAAAGGATAACAATAAACAACAAAGAATGCATAATTCATTGAAGTTTCACAAATGGATAGAAAAGTCTAATTGAAATATAAGTTTAAGAGTTGAGATGCATTACGATGAAATACATAAAGTGGTATAAAGTCCTTTTCATATATTTTAAAATGACTATAATGTAAGTGTTGATTGTGGTTTTTACAAATAAATGGTTCTCTGTATTGATTAAGGGATGTTTGTCAATATGGAAGGTAAAAGTCCTGAGAGTGATCATGAAATCTGTGTAAAAGTCTTTTAAGTGTTGAACTATATTTGATTAATCCCATATTGGGATTTTTTTGTCACATCAACATGTTAACAGACATTACACAATCATTATGTAGAACAATACAAAAAAAAGTTGACTAAAAATATATTATCACTGTACAATACACAGTATATGTATATATATATATANCTTCTCTTCACAGAGCTCACTGCTTGCATGCGGATGCTCCAAAGGGCGTGGCCAGCAGCAGCTCGGTTACATTTAAAGGGCCAAACCCAGAATCAGCACTTTAGTAACAGGGCTGGAATAGAGGGGTATGAGGCATGCTACAATGGGTGGTCTGTTTGACATTTTGAGCAAAACACTTCAGAGACATGTTTTTTACATATCTGATAATATATGCCTAAAAATAGTACACTAGGAGATCTTTAACTTATAATGTGTATATACACTGCCCGTCCAAAAAAAAAGTCACCAACTGAATTTAACTAAGCCAATCTGTTAGAGCCTTCCATTGGAAAGTTACAGGAGAGATAATATATTCCAGCTGGCAACAAGCTATTAAAGGTGAGGTAGGTAATTTTGGAGAAACCAGCTTGAGTGCGCTAGAATTTGAAAATACACAACCGGAAAAATCTGCCACTTCCTTACAGAGCCCCTCCTCCAACACACACGAACGCGCACATGACCAATGAGGGCACGAGATAAGTTTGTGCACAGATGGAAGGCTGACACTCTGACAGGCAGGTAGAGCATCCAGTTATTTTAGCCGGGCCGGCTCAAATGATTGGTCGTGCTTTTTACAGTACTCCGGCTTCCACAGATGACATTTTTTTATGGATTTTTTGTCAAAGCACTTTATTCATTGCTATCGGGATGTTAAGAACATTCCATGGAATATAACAAGTGTATCTCGAGCCGGTTTCCCAAACGTACCTACCCCACCTTTAATCCTAGTTAATAACTTAGTTATTTAGCTTCTCAATTCTTAAACAACCATGTTGGAAGACATATCCTGTGGTCGTGGAAAGGATCAGTTTCAGGGTCAAATGATTGGCCTGCATCAAGCAAATAGAACAACTAGGGAGAATGCTGAAACTACTAAAATGGGTTTAAGAACTGTCCAACGCATTATTAAAACCAAATCAATAAATCCAGATTTACCCTGTTCCAGAGTGGGTAAGAAGAGAGGCGGATTAAGTGATGTACCCATCATGCCTAGTGCCTACCTTACAGGCCTCTGGGGGCAGTATTATGGTCTGGGGTAGCTGCAGTGTTGGCCAGGTCTAGGTTCAGCTATACGTTCCCAAATAATTATGTCAGCTGACTACCTGAATATACTGAATGACCAGGGCCGTTTCTCAATGTCGAGTAAACCTGCTGCAGAGCCACTATACGAAGGAATGTTTAAATACATGTTTAATGCCCAGCATTCGGCGCCACTCGATGACGTAGTATACTTGAAATAGTGGCTCTGCAGGAGGTATACTCGACATTGAGAAACGGCCCGTTTCTAACATCAATGCAGTTTTTATTCCCTGATGGCATGGGCATATACCAAGAGGACAATGCCCGGGGGACTCACATGGTGAATGAGTGCTTCAGGGAGCAGGAGACATACTTTCCACTCATGGATTGGCCCCCACTGAGTCCAGCCCTCAGCCCCATTGAGAGTCTTTGGGATGTCCTGGAGAAGACTTTGCGCAGCGGTGCGACTCTCCCATCATCATGCAGGTCGAATCAATCGGGACGGGGACATCAGCATCCTCATGAAAATAAGTAAACGTCTCTCATTCATACACTAGGTATCGCCAAATTTAGAAATTATCGAATCGTATACAAAGGGGCTTTGAGTTGAATTTCTATTTAGGCCACCAAAAAATGTTGGTTTGGAGAAAACTTCTCAAAGTGTACGTTTTCGTTTTATAATAATTGCTATGTGGGGAATAAAAAAAAAAGTTTAACAATATGTGCCAAAATAACTCAACAAGTTACTTACTAAATCATCTGTACATCATACAGAATATTTATTGTATATCCTCAAAATACACAAACCATAAGACAGAACACAGGGTGAGAAAACCCTTTAAGGTCATTTGGAAAGGTCGGCACCATCCTGAACTTTAGTTTATCACACTGGCACTCGGGTCCTTGGTACAAATCAAACAAAGGCATTCTCCTTGGGAAATAATGTTGAGCTTTGATTTAGCAAACTCAAAACATCCACAAAATAAATAAAAGATAATTTTTTCTTATTACACCCGTAACAGTACCTGTCAGCCAAAACTCCCATTGGCCTTCTCGTTTGTTAAATCTACCCAAAATATTTCACACATTTCAGAAATGCAGAACACAGGAGCTGTTTTCCATTTCCACCATACAGGCAGTTTGTCGTTCCTCTCCTCGGACAGGGTTTGGTCTATTTTCCCGGCAATGAGATAATGATATTCTTTCAGTCACTCTGCAGCCAAACACGAGTATCCTAAACAACTGCTTCTACTCACTATGCTTTTGGCATGTTCCATTGGCCCTGTAGCAGTGAGCTAAAATGAGCCAAGACAACAAAGCTTTCTCTCGTTTGCAGGCAACAAGCCGGTCGGCAGCATATTATTCCTGGATTTGGTAAAAATATATTTTTGATTCCATCATGAGAACTTCCACCTTAGAGATTTGTGCTAAGCTCACATCTGGAGAAAATATGGGAATAAAAAACTGCCAAGTGATGAATGAAATGATTTGGTGGTTTGCTGAAACAAGTCATTTAGAGTTTAGAGCATGCCGATTATAGATGTACGCATTGATTGAAGTTGCGTTAAAAAAAAAATCCATACGTCGTGCTGGGTTTTTAAAGCCAAGATGTGTAGATTATTTCCCTTTAAAGCGGTTTGTTTGAAGATGAAGATTATACACAGATAGCCTATAAGTAAAAGCAACAAGTACTTCCTGTGCCCTGAAAACTTCAGTATGCTTCAGAAAGGTGGACAATGAGACAATATTCCTGGGCCAGGCACATTTTCTGATATAGGCAATTCTATTTGTATCTTTACACAATGTTTTTCCTTTAAATGTATGTGTATTACTTTTTATTTGTCAAGGCATCTTTGCAAGCCCTTAGAGGTTAGTGAGACAACTAAAGGTTTTTCTAAAGGACCTTCTCCCCTGTGTTTATGAAGCACAAATTGAAACATGTAGTAATGGATTTAAATAGAAATGTTATTTTCAGCATCACCTTCACACATGCTCTGGCAGTTTTTTCTTCCCATTGTAATGATGCAATATATGACATTCAATTTCAATTTAGGTCAGCGACCAATCAAGTGTCCTCAGTAATGCCTGTTGTGGAGTGCTTCAACAATGTCTCATTATGACACACACACACACACACACACACACACACACACACACACACACACACACACACACACACACACACACACACACACACACACACACACACACACACACACACACACACACACACATAAATAAGACTTACAATGTTGTAAGGCAATGTTGACCATGCATTTGTCCCAATGAACAACAAATCAAGGAACATACATTGTAACAATTTGCACATTCATTAAGAGCAACAGGGTCGCAGCTTCCCACTTTTTCGTTTTTTTTTTTTTTTTTTAAAATCAAGAGAAGTTTCAAGGCTTTCTGGGTGATCTCCTGATCCACAGGGCTCATCCCCACAACACCAGGCTCTGCTTTCTGCAGCGGGACCCCCAACCCTCCATTCAGAGAGCCGGTGCAACAGCAGGCTGGACACAGCGACTGGTCCCAGCCACAGAGGGGCTTTTGCATTGTATCCAAAGTTGGAGTTTTTTCAAGAGAAATGGGAAAAATTGAAATCCTCCTCGGAGACAGAGATCCAGCAGCCAGCTGCTCAGAGCCTCAGGACAGCCCGGAGGTCTCCAGGTAACTCTGGAGCTTCCTCACTGTAATTCTGTCCAGGGAGCAAAGGTCGAAGTCAAAAGTAGTGTTTGTGATGTGGAAGTGTCCCGTCTCTTCAATCAGGTTCACAATCTGAAAACAGAGGGGACAATCAGAGTTCTGCACTCTGCAATTAAATATCTGTCCAAACAAATAGTGAACTGGTTACAGGTTATGGTTAAAACCATAACAGGTTAAAACAGGTTTTAATGTACTGAACTATACATTAGCCTGAGAATAATATAAGAAGAGAGGGCCATGGGAACTTTACAGCAAACTAGCACAGGGAATCCTAACCATGTTATCTAAGTGGAAAAAGAAAAAAAAGGAAAATAAAAGAAAAAAAGGTGCACTGACAGAACGACAGTTTAAAGGATTGACATTACATATCTTACACAACTTGCTGAAGGCCAGTTTGGGTCAGATATTTACTGGTGTGCAAACAAACCTCTGGAGCATGAGGATCAGCAGCTTTATGAAGCAGGAAGTGCAGCAGAGGGGAGCACACACATATCGACACACAACTCCGAACACATGCATATTTTGATTCAATTCAGATTGATTCAAAGTTATTTAGGAAAAACTAGAAGTTCTTCACGAAAAACAACTTCCTGAACTTCCCTGCAAAGCTGATAGGACATAGTTCATTTATTTATTATCATTAAAGAGGCCCTTTTCTGCTCATTTTCTCTACTTTAAAGAGTCCTCTCCTGCTGATGTTCAGGTGTATATCAGTATGTAGTGTCTCTACTTTAAAGAGTCCTCTCCTGCTGATGTTCAGGTGTATATCAGTATGTAGTGTCTCTACTTTAAAGAGTCCTCTCCTGCTGATGTTCAGGTGTATATCAGTATGTAGTGTCTCTACTTTAAAGAGTCCTCTCCTGCTGATGTTCAGGTGTATATCAGTATGTAGTGTCTCTACTTTAAAGAGTCCTCTCCTGCTGATGTTCAGGTGTATATCAGTATGTAGTGTCTCTACTTTAAAGAGTCCTCTCCTGCTGATGTTCAGGTGTATATCAGTATGTATGTCTCTACTTTAAAGAGTCCTCTCCTGCTGATCTTCAGGTGTATATCAGTATGTAGTGTCTCTACTTTAAAGAGTCCTCTCCTGCTGATGTTCAGGTGTATATCAGTATGTAGTGCCTCTACTTTAAAGAGTCCTCTCCTGCTGTCATTATGTCACAGAAGTAAACAAAGGAGTCCAATAGAGAGATTTCAGTTCAGTTTTTCAATCATTTAGCTAAAGCAGAAGTACTTCACAAAAACAACAACTCCCAGAGCCTTCCATGCTAAGTCTAAAGGCTAAAGGCTCCTCCACTTGGATGCAGAGCTGAGGTCAGAATTGAGAGGCAGTTATTACACATTATATTGTAAACACATTTATTTGTTGCACCTTATGCTTGCATTTTGAGTTTTTGAAGCTGCTGTGTTTAATGACATAATGTTATGGTGTAAGAGGTTAAGTGAAGACTGCCACAGAGAAAAAGCTAATTCCCTAACTATCACTTTTTATACAAGTGCACAGACATAAAACATATACTGTACTTTGCATTGGTGTTGCATACTGTTCCTATTAAACCTTGTTCTTGTTGATAACTTTTACTGACTTTAAAATAATTTTCTGTGCAGGTATTATTCGTTCTCTTTATCAAATGTTGGAATTGTAGGTTGGGAGTCCCTGAGGATTACACGATAACCAAACTACATTTCTTGGTGTCGGTGCAGTTTGAAAAAATGTGGGATAATTACAGGAGTTTTTATGACAGGGCAGATCTAAGTCAGGCCCTGGGGCGTCCCTCTCTCACTCCACTTTTGGTGGCAATTTGGCCCGTTTGCCGTTAAGGATTCGCTTCAACTGGAAACCAAACTCCTGGCAGGCTCCTCCGTCTGAAGACATGCCATCTGCGTTACAGGGCCCTCTGTGAAGAGTGTGCAGGACAGACGGCCAGATAATCACTTCCATGTCTTGCAGCAGGAAGTGGAGCCACTTGGTGAACTCAGCGATTGTCTTGATTAGCGTGTTAAAGCTGTGCTTTGCTGGATGGGATTTAGTCTTTCCAGAGCCAGGCGTGTTGTCAGGAGAGCGAGGCAGAAGTTGGCAGTCGCTGCCTGGAGATCCAACAACACTGTCATATGATCGGCCCGGAGAATATAAGTCAGAAACACGCAGTCTCTGAGGTGGAGAGGTTAACCAAATAATTAATTGCTTCCAGATGAGAAGCAGATTACCAAGGATCTGAGTCAGATCACCGCTCCTATTTAAATCAACAATAAACTGATAACACGGACTTGTACAAGTGTTATGATGAGATCTGTGAACACTGTGAATAGTCATCCAACACAGTTTGGTTTTGTTTTTTATTGGAGTTTGGAAGACCCGTATATATATATTTTTTAAATAATCAGGAATGTAAATGTAAATAGCAAAGTCCAAACATCGACTACATTTCATGTTTTAAACCAATGTGTTCAATGTTCACCTGCAGATAGAGAATCAGGGCAAAATACTAATTACCGGCAAACATGAAGAAAAATGTTACTGATTTTACAAATGAAAGTGTATATACACTTGTGTTTTCCTTAAGCCCAGCCTCCAATCTGCCAGGTCACCGTTTAGTTAATTGAAAAGAAGGGAAAATAACTCTGGATTTGGCTCGTAGCGCACTATTAGACCCTAATTATTTGAATAAGGGCTATTGAAGTGTTAGAACTGGAAAGTTGATATATAGTGTAAGTCAATGGGAAAAAGTCATTTGGGGCTCAATGACGTCATGTGACTGACATACCATAACTTACTTACCTGGGGATTTAATCTGTCCCAGCATAACTTGTTATTCAGTAAACACATCATCCCGCAAAGAGCGTGTTTGAAGTATTGATTTAAATTCTATCCAGGTATTCTGCTCCTCTCACCAGACACTAGCTTGGTTCTCATTGATGTCAATTAGACAGAAGATGTGTGGTGAGATCACTAGGATGAAGCAGAAACTGTGTCCTTCTGATTTCAGCCGCTTTTCTCTGAACAACTTATCAAAGAACTTGTTTTGAAGCCAGTGTGAGCTACTTTAAAACTCTAGCTTCTTATCTGTGCCACAGGCTAACTGTCGACAGTTTAGTTAGGGATTTAGGTAAGCATTTTGGGTAATAAATGAACATGAATGTTGCTGTGACAAAACAATTTCCCAACTTGGGATAAATAAAGTATGTATCTATCTATCTAATATCGGCACCAAGTTTTGACAAGGAAAAATATTCATTGGGAGTCGGGTCAATATTAATTAGTAAGTGCAATACTACATGCTGCACCTTTAATTCCCTGAGTATTAAATGGACTGCACTAATATAGTCCTTTATCAACCGTCGAAGTGCTTTTACATACTACGAGTCATTCACAGAGTAGTGCCACCTGCTCAGGGAACAACACGCTCACACACCGTTAGCCATGCCACAGCCTTCTGGTTTAAAGTCAGCGGCACATCCTCGCAGCAACAGTCTCCCTGACTCAGATAACACACACACACACTTTCTCGTTCTCACGAGTAGGAAGTGGACACACAGGAGACAACCGTTTCATTGCAGACTGTTATGTTTATGTGGGGATATGACAGTGCATACATTATTTGAGATATATTTCAAACTCAGACTTCATTTTAGGGACATTTCGGCCAGAAGTGTAGAGCTATTAGTTTAAGCACCGGATTCGCAAAACAGAAGAGTCTGTGAACCAGTCTACCTTGATCTATAAATTAATGTCCGTGACTCTCACAGTATCTGCTATCTGTGCGCAGAGAGCTGTGCCTTTTACGCAGCGCCTTCACTGTGTTTACCTTCATTAGAACAGCTGAATAGAGAACACACACACACACACACACACACACACACACACACACACACACACACACACACACACACACACACACACACACCTGTTGCAGTATATGGCCCTCTCTCAGCGTCATCAGTCTTTTGTGCAGCACCACCAGCTCATCCAGGTAAGCCTAGGAAACACACAGCAACACGTTGTTAGCTTTATGGACTTAGATATGACACTTTCACACAGAAACGTGATATAAGGCCCAGTTAGAGGAACATACGCTCAACCACGTCTCACCCATTCACACCAGACTCGTCCAACTGCAGCCTGTCACACAAGACGCACACATGCACAGCTGGGTATGGTTAGAACTCCTACCGCCTTACTGGGAAATATAAAAGACTAACCAACTACAAAACTCCTTTTTTAGCAACTACAAACATTTTGGTAAATAGAACAAGACAGCTGGATTTAAATTAGAATACATATGGTTACGTTTCTAATAAGCTTTCAGACAATGTTTTATTCGTTTCTAATATAAATCATCTCAACATCTTGTAAAACGGTATTTTCCAACTGAGCTGTCAACTTGTGCTGGTTATCCAACTACTGTTAGAGTTGTACATTCGTAAGGATTTCTTTTTTTACCCAATAGATTCCCTCAAAAATAGCTTTAAGACAGAAAAAAACTTTAAACTGTCTTAAAGTTTTCCTTGCAAACCACTTTATTGAAGGTATCTGTGAAACTACTGAACTGATAACGCTTCTTTCGTTATTTATGATCCATTATGTATTTCTATACAGTAATTGTTCTATCAAAGCCAAGTCATACTCTGTGGTCAGGAAAAAGGAAGTGAAGGCAGGAGAATTGTACTGTGTTAAACTCCATATGTTACTGAAATAGTTCCTAAACTATTGCATATGGGCTGATTTATAATGATAAACAAATAAAGCTTTGTGTACCTTGTCACAATCTAAGTTTTTGTTCTTGTCCTGCTTGCTCTGCTTGGTGGGACTCTTCACCTCCAGTATCTGACAGAGAGCAGAGTACATGCAGTCAGTCACTCTGTGTTACTTCAATCTACAGACATTACAACCTGGGTTCCCTCCTTATATATTCAATGGCACTAACTAATACTAGGATATCATCTTACCTGGTTATTGGTAGTCTTTAGTAAGGGCGGGGCTTCATGACGGGATGGAGGTGAGGGGGAGGAGCTGTCACTCTCACTGCCATCACTCAGACTGACCCTGGGGGAGAAGAGAACAGGAAACAAAAGCTTCAGTATATCAGTACATCTCTGCTGCCCGGCTGCCATGGGAGATCAAACTGCCTCCACAAGAAATTCCCAAAAAGTTTATTGTGTGGTAAATTAAATCTAGCGGGTTTAACAAAAGATCACAGAGAAAAATATAAATGTAGAACATTCACTTCTACTCTTCCACAAAATATATATGCACTTTAATGACCCAAATCACTAAAACTCAATGGTGTAGTTAAAATCCCACAGCTTCTGTATCCTGCTCATATTTGCTGCCTGTGTCATGATGACTTCTTCATGGCGTGGGGCAGCACCCATAAGCCTATTTCTAGTGACTGTTCACTAACCTGCGTTGGTGGTGTGTGTGGTGTGTGTGTGCCGGTCGCTCCATGTCAGAGTCCATGTCGTTGTCGTCGTCGTCCTCCTCTGAATCATCGTCGTTGTCCTCGGAGTGCAGATCCTGCATGACGGACTGCAGCGGGCCCAGCACTGGGACAGAACATCCAGGTCTTTCATTATTCATTTGAAACACGAGTAATAACATGCATTAACAGCTGAGCATGCTGGGGGGCGGAGCCTGAGGCTGCACCACTGCTGCGTCTGATCACAGCAGTTTACATGTTAAAAAGAGTAACGCTGTTATTCTATATATCAACAGATCCTACGAAAAGACACCAACAATGAGAAGGTCAATCTCTCTGACACTCTCCTCCACCCCCCACCCAGAGACTCTCAGCCCGAAGCTGATTGGATTCTTCAAGGTGTTCATTTGGCTTAACAATTGAAAAAACATTTTCAAGGTGAATGTTATTTAAACAGGAGAGAGTATTTTATTTATTGTTTACATTTCATTGTCAAAGCTTTTGCCTTCATTCTGTAAGAAATGTGTGCTAGAAATATGGGCCAATTCTTTTTTATTTCAGCATTTTTATTCCTTATTTGTTATTGATAGAGAACTGTTGTATTTTAGCGGATACAAATAATTATATATACATATATGATATTATATATATATATATCAAATGGCAAAACAAATTCTGGGGTTATTATTTTACATATATTTAAAATAATAACCCCAGAATCCCAGATAACTGAACACCCTTGTGTACCACTCGGATATGGTGAACGTTTATTATGTAAACTATTATGACCAATGCCATAAAAAAACCTGTGGACCCCATCTTAAAACACACACTCAGTGTGTATTCCGGAAGCAGGACAGTGTATGTGGGACAATGGAAACTACAGTGTGTGTTCATGGTAAGAAAGGGACATCAGGTAGTCACCATAATGATATAGTGTGTCCCTCATCTTAGAGGTGAAGAGGTCATACAGTATGTTCACATGTTGTTTGGTCAGTATTATAAACACCGAGTAACTCTCCATGCACATTCTCCACACCAGGATGTGTTACCTGTGTGGGTGGCGGCAGGAATAGCCACCCTTTTCCTGATGATGAAGTCCACCACTGCATCCAGAGAAAATGACAAACACAAGCAGAGGTCACCCTCAAGAAACCAATGCCCCAAAAATGTACGTTTACCAAATAAAACATTCCAGACTTACTTTCCAGCCGGGGGTTCAAGCACATAGTTTAAACTCTGGTGTTTCCTGAAGCTCACTACAATAAGATAATATGTCCACTCAGGACAAAAATAACAGTTATTGTTTGTTCGTAGCCTTTATTTAACCAGGTGAAAATCCCATTGAGATCAACGATCTCTTTTTCAAGGGAGACCTGCAGCACATTGGTTACACATAAAAACAACAGAAAACAAAAAGGACATCATACAACATAATTACAGGGGTATACATTAGCAACCTATTCACAATGACATATCTAATAACATTTCATCTATGGGCTCAGAACAGTCTCATAATACACACATGCACACAGAAGGATTCACACTTGTATTTCATGATCCACAAAAGGATTCACTCTTGTATTTCCGGATCCACACTTCTGTTTTTCAATGCACACACAAATGTGTTCCGTTTCATATACATGTAAATAAAATCCAAATGTGTTTGGATTTTATTTACATGTATATGAAACGGAACACATTTGTGTGTGCATTGAAAAACAGAAGTGTGGATCCGGAAATACAAGAGTGAATCCTTTTGTGGNGTGTGTGTGTGTGTGTGTGTGTGTGTGTGTGTGTGTGTGTGTGTGTGTGTGTCCAAGTCCAAGTCCAAGTCCAATTGCTTTTTCAATACATAAACATTAAAGGGGTTTAACGCTAGTTGGCAGGTTGTGTGTGAGAGAGAATAAATAAGACAGCCCAATTATATTAAAAAAAACTATTCTTTTTCGCAACTTTCCGCATATTTCGCAACTTCCCGCAATTTCACCGCATAAAATCACATAAAACCCCCGCATGTTTAATAACATAATCAAGGATTTTTGTCCGCGTTTTTCTGGAGGGTCTAAATATTGGGTTTCTGTAAAAGGACAGTTTATCCCCAGAGCATAGTGGTTTGCATATACACACTGTAGTCTGTACTTGCATATGTAGCAAAATGCTGGTTTGGTTGTTGTAAGCAGAATACTGTAAAGTAAATATGTGACCTGCTCTATCGAAATCAAATCAGTCGCATTGACCCGAAGACACATTTTGAGTTGTATTCACTCGTTGGAAAGAGGATATTTCTAGCTTTCTAAGGATATCAGGATTGTTGTTGTACTCCAGATATTAAGCAAAATACAGTATGTCACATTATATAATGACTATCACCAAGTCGTCATTTTGAGAAAAAGGCCTTCAAAGTTTCCCCTTCTCTGGAATCCATCGATCTAATTGATTATTAGCGGAGCAAATGATCAAAATACTACGGAGGGAAAATATTTTCGTTTGGATTACTGGTCTGGGGGGAGCTCGCGACTGCGTATGTATGTGTGTTTGTGTAATTTTGCATTTGTGTGTATTGTGTTTGTTTCCCGGGGAAAACCCTCACGAGAAACACCGGCTGTTGTTACGCCTGCTGTGACGTTAAGTTACTCCGTTCTCCGCTTGTAATCATGCCGTTAGAAGCTTCAAAGTTGTATTTATGATCTGAATTTGCCGAAAGAAGTTTAATATTCTGAAAGCCAAGACTTTGTTTATTTAAAATCAGATGAAAACAAACCGTAACGGACCCTGCCGTGTTATCTATGATTACTATACGCCTTACATTCATAATTTCAGCCGGAGGGAGGGGGAGCGGCGCTGCGGAAGAGCCAAGTGCGAGTGAGAGGTGCCTGTCATCTTCCCTTTACAAGCTTCAAAAATGTATTTATCGTGTGATTTTGGAAATAAAAGTTTCATATTCTGAAAGCCAAGACTTTGTTTATTTAAAATCAAACAAAACACCCGAACCCCGAAAAACTATTTTTTTACGCAAATCCACGTATTTTGAAATGAGCCGTTGCAACTTCCGACTGATTTCGATAGAGCGGGTCACATACATTATTTTATTTAGCCAATGTCTATAATTCCCCCAAAATGTCCTGATATAATCCTTAGGATGGGTTTGGGACATCAATAGTTGCTTCCTCAGTGTTCAGTCAGTCTTTTGGCCCTCTGCCAGAGGACTCCTGTAGTGGAAGCTTTATGACTGGAGCTAAGTGCTCTCTATTTACTTTGCCCTGCACCCTCTTCTTAGCCTCAAGAAGAGCTCAATGGCTGACAGACCATATCAAAGCCATCATTCTTAATTTCCACTACTGAAAGATCTTAGTATATCATTTGTACATTTGTATTCAATTCCAAGTTCCTTTACTACACCTTGTTCAGTGTTGTGGAGATTATTGTTTTATTATAAAAGGATTTGCATTTTATAGATTGTGATCTGATTATTCACATTTTCTTTTGTCCCTCTCTTTAACAGCAGCGGGATCCTAACAAACGAAGTTCAGAAGACTCAAATGTAAGATTTCCAACATGCTTTGGGTTAACTGAGGAAACGTGTGTAATGCTAACAGCATTGGACATCTCTACAAAGTGATTTGTGATTGGTTATGTGTAACACACCCAGTCATTTTACCCTGGCTGGGTGATGTCCAGTCCCTCAGCACTGAAGCACAGACACAGTGAGGCAGCTGTGTTGTCTTTACTTGCATATTCTGGCAATGGTTCCAGCTAATGACTGCACGATATTCTAGCAATTCAGACAGCTTTAGAGGTTAAAGTGTGTGCTGTGAATACATTTGCATCTCTTGGCTTTGAAGACGCCAGTGCGCTAATTAATTACTGTTACCGGTAAGTCTTTCTTGAGGCTAATAACAAAACCTACATTTACTTCTACTAGACCATCAGGCAAAATGTGCCTCAGGGGGCTGATTTATAATGCTTTTTAAACAATTCAAGATTGATTAGATTGGCTATTCTTTGTGTGATGAGGTCAGGTCTACATATTAATTGGCAAAAATGTTCCAATCGATTCTTTTGAAATGTTAGTGAATGCATGTGCCTTTTGAAGAAACAGTTAAACTTGTTTTTCAATTTCAAAACGTTTTTTAAGTCTTTTCTATTGCGACTGAAAGAATAGGAATCACAATAGCTAACACTTTAGGAAGCCTTGGAAAATATATTCCAATAAGAATGTGGATAAAGAATGTCTTATCAAATCAACTAACGCTGCCTTCAGCAAACAAGACCAGGAATCAGACCCAGCATTCAAGGCCAGTTTTGGGTACTCAAATCTTATTTTCCTTTAGGCCGTCTAAAGCAAAGACTCCTCTGAATATGTGTTTTTCTGGTTGTCCTCCTGCAGGTGATGGTGATGCAGGAGGGCTCCACCTCTCTGTTCGGACAGCACATGAAGCTGCCTTCACTCCCCAGCTCGCTGACATCCACCTTCTTGGACCAAAAGAAGAGCAAAAGCTTTCACGGGTCAAAGGTCAGTGTCGTTTCCAGGTACTTGCCTGGAGCAAGTCTTCTTTCCCCCCCCACCCACTCTCTGCCACACCCAGCTCTTTAATATTTCACTTCTTCAAGGTATGCAGGCTTTAATCCCCCACATATTCGGCAGGTTCAAAGACCTCCAGGAAATTTAAACTCAAAGATTTCAAAGGCTTAAGCAAACTAAATCTTGGCTGCTGCTGAGCCATAAGCACCGACTCCACTGACAGAGAAGCATGCTGGGAATCTAATCTACGGACAGTAAATGAATAAAAAGAACTGAAACTAAACATGAAAAGTTAAAAACATAGCAAATAATAAAACAGAAATACAAAGAAAGAGAATTAAGGAAAAATTAAATAAGACTAAAAGTAGAATCACATAAAAGCAATTCTAAAAAAGTTTTTAAAAGTGATTAAAAAGAGCAGGCAGATGTTGCAGCCCTGATCAGAATCCTGTCTTTCTATAAGCCAGCATGATGTTTCCATTAAGTGTATTTTTAGTCCCTTTTTAAATAGTGTCATTTAAGAGCCACGTTAGGAGAGGCCCATTTCACATGGAAACAGTTTCCAGTCTAAACACTGTGTGTGTGATGAATTACTTGTAGAGCAGGAGGTCTCACACACACACACACACACACACACACACACACACACACACACACACACACACACACACACACACACACACACACACACACACACACACACACACACACACACACACACACACACACACACACACACACACACACACACACACACTCTCTCGCTCTACTTGCAAAACCCCTCTCTCTCTCTCTTCATCACATGTTGAGAATGATTGCACTGGTACTATAACACATTAGATATCGTTGTAATAAATCATGGCTATATGACAAAAGGTCTCAGACACTTTACTTTCTATCTGTTATTTATTACAATCATTTAATTTCACAAGCATGCCTGAAGTATTTCACTAACTTTTGTTTTATTGAGTATATGTTCGCATCAGACTTTATTGGGTACAATGTACATATACAGCAGCTCTGTAGTTCTACTACTCCTATCAATAAAATCATCCAAAAATATATTATAAGTTGTAAATTGCTTGATCCAGACGTCTTGTTCTCTTAAAAACAATGTATCTCTGGAAAGTAAAGAACATACTCATTATATGACTGTAATTATGATGTGCTGACACTATTATTAATATGATACGCCCTTCAGTGATTTACATTAACTTGTGCCACTTGCTAACCTGCCAATGTCACGGTGCTGAAAGGTTTGGTAAAACGTGTCACATTAGCCGCGTCAGAGCGCTGTGTCCTGTCCAGAGCACTAAAGCCTTTTTATGTGGGGCTGCCCTGTGAGGGGGGCGGTGGAGGAGCTGCTGGAGGTCAGAAGGAATCGGCAGCTTTACATCCTGAGGTCCCGGGGTCACCAGCAGATAGGCAAAATGAAAGGTTTTAGAGGTGCTTGGGCAGAGTTGTAACACTCCCCGTCGTCTAGACTGCTTTAATAGGTTTACTGCATTGATGAAATATTGACAAGGAGGCTGGAGGTGAGACCCAGGGACAAATGGCCCCCGTCGTTAAAAGGAATGCATTTCCTCCTTTCTCCGCTTTGCCCTCTGCTCCACTTTTAAGGTTGCGCCTGTGTGGATTTTGAAAATACCCCTCACACCACGAACAACAACACCACTGAAAATAAGTCCTGAGTTTGCTCTTCAAGCCCATAGTAAACTGAGAACACCCTTTTGATTTTCTTTTAAGAACGGGCTTCTTTTCGCAGAGGCTAATGCCAAACTGCATGATAATTTTGCATAATCCTTTGAGCTGAAGTGTTTTCTTCTGTAGTTTAGATGATTCTGTGTGATTCTGCTCCAACACCCCAAAGTTAGTTAGAATATCTTGTGTTTTTTCAAACATGACTTAACTTGCATTCATGTAGTTCGAACATTAGCCATACGTTTAGAATTCTTGCTAGGCTAAATCCTGATGTACAGTCTTTCATTTTGTAGGATGTGTTGAAACAATGTAGGATATCTTATTTGTTGGCTCTGATCCACAGGATGGCTCCAAAGGAAGCAGCACCACCCTTCTCACCACGGCAACAACCACCAGCACCAACAACATCACCTTCTCCAAACTCCACAAACCCTCCAAGGACCACAAAGACAAGCCTGCAAAAGACTTGAAAGAGCCCAAAAGTGCCTTCAGAGACTCTGGTTGGGAATCCAGCAAAGTCCCCAAAGAACCTTCCAGGAAACCCAAAGAGAACCAGCCACTTAGAGATATAAATCCTAAAATGGGCTTCAAGGAACCCAAGTCTTTGTCCAAGGAGCATCGGACTGAGGGGATGACCCCTGGGTCGGGGCTAAACAAGCGTCTGTCCAGCTCCGACGCCGACGATCTCGTGACCAAAAAGCGTAAAAAGGGATTTGCGGATCTTTCAGGGAAGCAGACGTTGGGGTCAGACGCTCCACATTTGGATAAGAAAGTCTTGAAGGATAGATCGCAGATGAGAACAAGTAAACTGCGACCAGAAGTTGAGGAGGCAGAGCGCAGGAAGGTGTCCGCACTCCCTCCGTTCCAGGACCTGGGGGACCACAATGACTCTGATATGGAGGACCAGTCCCACAAATCAGATGTAAGTACAACCTCTTTTTGAACTGTCAAATGTTTTTGCAACCAAAAGTTTAATAAATGTTGTTCTGTTGTCTGCTAGCTTGGTGAAGCACCAGATTGAATTAATCTGTTTTAGAGCGGGGACACCCATATCCTGTCATCATCATGCAGGTTTAATAAGCAGCTGTCTGACCCTGGTACGAGTACAGAACATTGAACTCAATGATCTGAGCATTAAGGCCACTTTACTGGAAAAAGTGTTGAAGGGAGGGGGTTGTGGAAAGATATCCAATTCTTGGAGGGGGTGCAGGGGTTTGTTGGTGGTCAGTCCTTCCTCAGTGTGGAAAGGCTATAAAATCAGATGAGAGAATCCTCTTGGAGGTCTGGGCAGGGGAACTGGAGGGAGGGGTGGGCACCATGAACTAGTTCAGCTACATTCAACTGGGTTGCCGAACAGGAAGAGGACACAACTGAAGAGAGATTTGATCAAGATGAAGTTTTGTTTCTGAATTAACAGCAAATAACTGTTTTTGTACACTAAAAGTCTGTTGGTATTGGAATCAGTTTATTGTGGACGTAGCATGTGCTCACTTACTAACCTACAAAGTATTTCTCTCTGCCTCCACATCAAGAGCAGGATTAGAAAAACTACAGTGGCTCCTTTCATGAATAGCTGACATTTGACTGGGTTGCCTGGTCCACGCACATTTGGTGGAGAACCTCCCCATAAAGACGGACTGTTTTAAAGCCAAATAGTGGACAAGAAAGATTTATGGTTTTACAACACCTGAGGAGAAAAGGGAGAGGCGGCAGTAAATAGCATAGAGTTCCCCTTTAATCCTTTTCGCTTTTGAAGGAAGAAAAAGGGTGAAGAAAGGTCTATATCCCCGTGCTTTGAGCGCTTTTCTTTTATGCAATGGTATTTTCATTTCTATTCTCTACAGCTTGTATAAAGTGTGGGTCTTTGTGTGTCTTCCTCCGTAGGAGCAGCTTGTTTAGCTAGGGGAGTTATTACTTAGCACTAGCAGAACCTGTGTTTTTGTCTGCTCTGTATGTAAATGCCTTTCAGCTTTCCCGTACAGAGACTGGGGGTCGAGTTGGTTGTAAAAGGGATGTGGGGTGACAAATGCCAGGTGTTTGATTCGCCCCAGGCTAGCAACTCGGGTGGCCGAGCGCCGCTCTCATTTCTCATGTGACCACTTGTTTGATCTTGCTTGTGAGCCAGAAACAGCAGAGAGGAGGAAATGTGGAGTAGGTGATGACATGAAGGGAAAGCAGGCTGGCTGTTAGCATGAGAACTTTGCTTTAGCACACTGGAGCTGAGTGATCTGTCACTGGCATAAGTGTGTGACATATGGCCCTTGTTCATAAAATTCACATCATCACAGAGACATGTGCAGTAGATAGCTTAACATATTTTCATGATAAGCTTGGTATTGTAAGGAATGACTAACAAATATTGTATTGCATTAAGCGCTTTGAGCACCAGGAAAAGCGCTTTATAAATGTAATGTATTATTATTATTGTTAATATTTTCTAAGCCTCTTTATAAACAGTTTTAGTTAACATTTAGAAAGAAATGCCACATCTAACCTCTGCATACAGTAGTCTCCCTTAAACTGAAAGAATAGTATTACATTGAAAGAAATAAGAATAAATAATGTAAGTTATAAAATGGACATTAAAGATTTTAAATACATTATTTTATTCTAAGTTTTCATTCAAGTTTAGCTCATATGACCTTAATTTAAGGTTAAACTTAAACGATTTTACGCGTCAAAGAAAACGAAGTAAAAAACCCATAATTCCCCGGGTTTCTTCAAGGTAGAAAAGTTGAGAAAAATACAAAAGAATAGAACAAGATTCAAACGGTTGAGAAAACCATGAACATGTGAACTGCATGAGTAACATTGAGCTGATACATTTAATAGCAATCTGCAGCCTCTTGGTATAAAGATTTTTCATTCACAATAAAACGGTTTTGTTTGGACAGCCCCTGCTGAATTAGACAAGCTAACCAAAAGCTCTTGGTCAGATTAGGATTGTTTGCTGGCCTTTCTCTTTTGGCCCTCCTAACTGTGCCAAGAGTTAAGAGAAGAAGCCAGATTGATGCCAACATACAGCGACTAAAGACTATTTATCGTCTTTGAAGAGGGCAGCTTTTGTGGCTTTGAGTAAAGCAGGACAAAAGCCCTTAAAAGGAGTGCTGGTAAGATTGATGGCTCCCTGAAGAAGCTGTCCCATAAACCAACAGACCAGCTGTGTGTTGTTTGTTGGCAGGAGGTGACAGACATTGAAGTCGCTCTGTCTTTTGTTCTCACTTCTCTTTTTATCTCATGTTTCTTCTTGAGGTCGCTTTTCGCTACTTTGTAGTTCGGTACCGTGGCAACAGCCTCCTTTTATATACATTTGGGTTTGTATATTGACAAAAATTGCATTTAAACTCCCTTTTTAGAATGACTTGTTTTAAACTTGCACAACACGTTGTTCTGAATAGGTAAACCCACTATGAGAGCATATTGTGTTTAAGAGTTTTTATACCACAGTACCTTCTACCTGTCACATCTCTTGTACTCCTTGTGCTCTATAAGAACTTAACAGTAGGCAACATGGGGCTTCCCTTATCTAACTTTGAAATACTTTGAAATGTACATTTTCTGTATATTCTCTTGAGTTCTGTTATATTTTACCTAATTAGGACTTTTCAAATACACACTTAAAAAGGCAACATAATGTCTGGTTACTTATGTTTGTCTAGCAATTAACTGACTGCCCATAGGTCAATTTAAAAAAGAAAAAAAGTTGGTCGGTGTGTGTGCGTATGTGTCTCCGTTAGGGATGTAACGATATATCGAATATCACGATATTGCGGTAAATAAATTTCTCAATACCGTTGTGAGACTGACAAAATCTACCGCGATTTTTTTTAAAAAAATTTTTTTTAAACCTTTATTTAACCAGATGGTCCCATTGAGATCATCGATCTCTTTTTCAAGGGAGACCTGTCCAACATGGCAGCAAGTAGGTTACAACATGAACATAAAACAACAGATAACACAAAAGGACATCGTATTTACAGGGCTACATGTACATACCTAGAGTCATTGACAAGTACCAACAGTATATTTATATCTCGCCCTGTCAATAAGCCTCACCTTCCTGGCAACAACTGTATTGTTTTTGAAGTGGTGGAGGGACAATGCACAGTTTTACCCACTGCTGTCACCCATGGCCAAAGCATATCTCTCTGTCCCAGCAACATCAGTACCAAGCAAGATAGTTTTTTCCACAGCAGGGGATATTGCAAACGCCCAAACATCCCAGCTTCTACCTGGAAATGTGGACATGCTCATATTCCTAAAAGATAACCTTGATGATGCTGAGTGAGTGAGTTAGAGTTGAGTTACTTGAAAAACTAAAGTGAAACTTGATTTATTCTATTGAAGGGTCTGATTATTATATTGTTGACACTTTAAAATACTACTATCCTACTAAAATGCTGTGCAAATCAGATTTATTATTTAATAAAGAAAAAGATTCAAGTACAAAAAAAAAGAATCCAAAAATTATTTTCTTTTTTTTTTTCAATATCGCGATAAATATCGTACTGTCGACTTTTTATCGCGATATTATCGTACCGTGAGTTTTTGGTATCGTTACATCCCTAGTGTCCGTTGCTCTCAGCGAATAGAAAAGCAGGGAATAAGTATTTAAAATGTTTCAATTCAGGATGAATTTATTGTCTTATCAGTTCCTTTGATAGTCCTCTATAGAAACCCTGTTCAAACTGTTATATACCGTACTATACTATAACCCATATAGTAGCATTGGTATTGTTGTTGATTTTCGGACAGGTATCCCAAAACATCACCTCAAACCACTTTGTTCAGTTTGCCCCACTGTATGAATTCCTTATCATTTCTTTTCTATGATGTTGTTCCCTCTGTTTTCTCTGTGCGCTGACAAATCTCCTTTTGACATGTCTTCCCTTCACAAAGGACTAATGTGGCCCATCAGTCTTTGTTTTGTTGTTTATGGTGTTTTTCTTTGTAGGGTTGCATCCAACGATTACTTTAATTATAAATTATTCTGTCAATTATTGTTGCCGATCATCTGATTTATTATATACCAATTGCCCTTCCGTAGGATATTGTATACAAACCACAACGGATTAAGATCAACCTTAAAGCAGACACTGAAACCAGAGAGTTGCAATCATTATTGTTGAATTTGTTCTCGTTATGTGACATCACATGAGTTCGACCAATCAAAAAGTACCTAAGACTTGAATTCAGCATCACCACTTTATTATGTCGCAGGAGAGCATTGAAGGTAAAAGCAGAACCTGTGATGGGTATTTAGTTTGCTTCCTGCAGTGGCAAAGTATTGTAAAATAGTGTATGATCATTGGGAAGGTGGGTGAGGGTTATCATGGTTACTGTATGGCTAATACACAAAAATACCATAGAACGTCCAATTGGATCTCCAACCTGATTCGCTCTGTCTTAGACAGGAGTTTAAACATGTGGATCAGGAGAAAAATGAACGTTCAGAGTCTCTTAACACACAGGGGAGACATGTACACTGTACTGCATACTGTATGTTCAAAAGACATGAAAAAGGGCATTTTGCATAATATGTGACCTTTTTTAAATCACATGTTACACTACAGTGTATTTGCCCTTCGGTCTCAAATGGCACTTGAGGCTTCACTCAGGTGCCCGGGAGAATATTATGAGGCACATATTCTAATGTTTGCTAGTCCATGTGGTTTGTTGAAATCTTCACACGTGGAAGACTGCTTTCTTTTAAAGTACATCTAAGCATGTGAGAAGTACAAATGTCAGGAATGTGTTCTCACACCTGGGAGAGTCTCTTTTCCCTTATTTCTTGTCTATTTTAATATTGAGTTTGACGCTTAACAGTTTTCCTGTGTATTAGACATTTTAAAAACTCCGACTTGCCAAGCTTATATTTATGACAATATATCACACAACTATATTTTGCTAAACAATATTTATCGTGATATGAGCAGTTTATTA